CCCCCCCGAATTTTTCCGGTTTTTTCCCCGGGCCTTCATATCTCTAGGTGTAAGCCATTTTGGGACCCAGTAGAGGAAAGGGGTGGGATACACATGAAACAAATAAATAGTCACAAAGATGGGAGGAGGGGGATGGGTTCTCCAAAAAAAGGGGTGGGGCAATTCAGATCGGATAAAAATTAGCACTCTTTCTTTATGCCTCGTTTGCATATACAATAAACTATGTATAGATTTGGTTTGTCTGGCATAATGTTCCGTCCTGTTTTTTCCTTGGGGAGGTTGGAGGCATTCTCTGAGATGGTTCTTTCCCAGGTGGATGGTATTGGGTGTGAAAAGTTAAGAATCTGTCCTCTGATGGCTCCACCACGCTGGTTTTAAATACGCTGTGAGGTCTGTTTGTCACTGCCCAGGAACAAGCATTGCAGTTCAAACCAAAATAAGATCGTGGAATACTGTCGTGACCTGGACAGCCCAGGCAAGCCTGATCTTATCAGATCTCGAAAGCTAAGAAGGGCCAACCCTGGCAGGTACTTGGATGGGAGACCTCCAAGGAATACCGGGGCTGGGAGGCAGAGGCAGGGTATCAAGCCACTTCTCTGAATGACCTCCATGCCCCAGTAGGAGTTGCCAGAAGTCTCCATGACTTCCAGGCATGGGCACACCTTCGCACACACAGAAATGCAAAAAAGATTGTGGAATAATATTGTTTATAGATGCATTTGAAGCCCGTCTCACTGCTATCTTTTCCCCTTCCGCAGCTGCTTATTACGGTAGCTTTTAATCAGCCTGTCAAGCTTTATTCTATGAAATTTCACGGACCCGATAATGGTGAGTGAAAAGACTTTTCTCAGGGCAGAGTTGTCTCTCCACGTGACCCACTGACGATAGCTTTAGCACCGTCATAGTTTTGATAATATGAAGCATAAGCTGCGGGTTCATTGCGTTTGGTCCTGCTTCCGTTCCCTATTTCTCCATGCCTTCTGATGTTGGCAGACTGATGTCCTCCTGTCTTTTCATTCCATTCCTCTTCCCTTCATGTGTTTTGTTAGACTGTAAGTCTGAGGGAAGAGTCTGTGCCTTTTGATTGATGTGATCTACGGTCTAAATAGCCCAGACTAGTCCTAGGTCAGAAGCTAAGCAGAGTCAGCCATGGTCAATACTTGTGGGGGACACCACCAAGCTTAGACTGTAGGGTTGCCGTGCAGAGAAAGGCAGTGGCAAAGCCCCTGTGTTCATCTCTTGCCTTGAAAACCGCATGAGGTGAGAACTTCATGGGGTTGTCATAAGTTGGTTGCGGATTGACAGCACTTTATTATACTTTGGGAGACAGTTCTGGTCTGAAAAATGGGCTAGAACTATGCCCCGAAGCTAGTGGATCTCCCTATATTATCTCTACTTTCTCTCCTTTCCTCACAGCTTCTTTTCTTTCCCTCCTTTTCCCCATATCTCTTTTTTTACTCCATTTTGCTTTGCTTTTCTATCCCCAGTCTCTCTCCTGGTCTTTGGTGTCTGCCCCTTTCTCCTCTACACATCTCTGGCCTCAAAAATGAAACTCCAGCCACCATTTTTGGATTGCCCCGGCAGCTCAAAATGGCTGCTGAGATTTTGTGAGGCTGCCTCATGAGATATTGGCATTTTAAAACATCATCTCCTTTATTTTTAAGGTTTAAGATTAACGTTTCCTCTTTGAGTACCTGGCCCCATCGTGTGGGTTTTTCTGATCCATATTCTGGGGCCAGGTTCACGAGTCCTAGCACTCAGCTGACACTGCCTTCATCTAATATTTTAACACAGGTCAGGGTCCCAAGTATGTAAAAATGTTCATCAACCTCCCCCGATCAATCGATTTTGAAGAAGCAGAAAGAAGCGAGCCCACTCAAGCCCTGGAACTGTCGCCAGATGATATCAAAGAAGACAGCATTATCCCGCTTCGCTATGTAAAGTTTCAGAACATCAACAGTGTAACTGTAAGTTAAAAGCCTTTAACTGTCGCTTCACTCAGATCGTTTCGAAAGACTGCCTTTGAGGCCATTCTTTGGTGCCGTGGCACCCTAGCAGAGCCCAGTTTCGTCAACTGCAGATGTGTATCTGAAGAAGATCTTTGTCTTTTACTCTTAGGTGTGATCCTTGTATAAGAATGCGAGACCAGAGCGTTCAGGCTTTCTGTGGGGGGAGTGAGAATGAGGCTAGAACAGGGGTCCCAAGTATGGTGCCCACGGGTATGGTGGCACCCACAGACACCTTTCTTGGCACCTGCCAAGTGTTTTTAGAAAGTGGGCAGGGCTTTGCCCAGTAGTGATTCCGATTGGCCGTTGGAATTCCGACTGGCTGCGTGGCTCTTTAACCATGGCGTTGGCGGCAGGTGTCACCACAGCACAATGATCTTCACTGTGTGACTGAAGGTAAGCTGTGTGTAAGCAAGGAAGTATTTCGTAAACAATGTGCTCGTTTTAAAAGGCATCCTGTTAAACGGAGGTTCTGCCTGAAATGTTGAAGTGTTACTGTTAGACTTACGCATAACCGTAATTCCTTGGCCTTTTGTGGCTAGCTCTTCTGCCTCTTGTGGCAGCCATTTTGTGGTTGGCGCCACCTCCCACAGCAGCTGTTTTGTGGTTACGCCCACCATCCTGTGTCAGAATTCCAAAGGTGCCCACAAGCTTTTAGAGGTTGGGCACCCCTGGGCTAGACAGACAAAAAGTGGTCTGTTGTAAGCAGCAGAGGAATCCTTTGTTGTTCAGATTGCTAAACAGCCCTGGTATGTACAGTTTTACTACAGAGCACAAGAATACCTAGCATGAGCTGCCGGTACATTGCCTGTGGCCCTGTGTTCTGTATTCTCAAATGTCTGAAGATTGGGCCCGGCCACCATGGACTGTGCTGTCGTTGCATCAGGCATGGCATGAATGAATTGGTAAATTCTACCAGGGGAGTAGGCAGCTTTCTCCTATCAAGAGGCTTCTTTGTAGGTCCAGATTTCCCCCCCTATCATTCTCCCTTCTGGCTACAGCTTGCGGGGGGGAGAGTGTCAATCACAGGCTGGCATTGTTCTAACTACCAGGTTCAAATCCTCCAGTAGGGTCAAGTCCTGCCGTTTATTTCAAACTTATGTTTTCGTCAGTGTATTTGAAGTGGCCTGTTGAGAGGTGCCACTCAACTGTAGACAGCTTGGGCTGGATCCAGACTAAATTGGCCACTTCCACCGATTCCCTTTTCCCACTGCGGACCCCCCTCCCCCATGTCATTCCTTGGGGTTCCTTATTCCCTTAGGAACAGCATTTCATGTAGATCAATGAGCTACAGTGGGAAGCAGGAGCGTTCCATTCTGCTGGAGGGGGACTCAGTCTGGATCCAGTCCCCTTGCCTTTGGCTTTTCATAGAATTGGAAAGAAGCGGGCTATCCGCTCTCTGCCTCCTGCATCTCACTGCTAATCTTCTGCATTTCAGTTATTCGTCCAGTCCAATCAAGGAGATGAGGAAGCAACGAGAATCACGTATTTCACATTCATCGGGACGCCAGTCCAAGCGACAAATATGAATGACTTTAAGCGGGTACGTTCCAAAGCCTGGGCCTCAAATCAAACAGCGGGTTGGGGTTGACGGAAGCTTCAGGGATAGTTTTAGCTGAAGGAGCGTGATTTTTTTTTTTGGTCTGTTCGGACCTTGAACTTGCACTGCAGCCAGAGAGCTGGAAGCCCCTTGCCTGGGTTGCTCTGCGTGTGTTTGCAAGGAGTTGAAGAGTGTGCGGTGTCTGTAGGGAAGGCTTGTGAAGACCAATGATCTCTTAAGGCAGGGTTTTCAAAGCAGATTCCTTTCTCTCAAAGAAGCAGGGTTTGTACAGGGATGGGGAAAATGGCCACTGGTCCTCCCTTCTTCAGCACACTGTGGGTGTGTGGTACTCCCACCCCAAAAAAAGTTCAGAATCGGTATGATGACCAGTCTTCCCTCTAAGCTGAGTTAATGTGAGCTAGCTCACAGTTCTTTAGCCTCCGGCTCACACATTTTTGTCTTAGCTCAGGAAGGATGGCTCCAGAGCAAACCGATTTATGCAGCAGCCGAACCGCCTGCTCACAACTTTAATGCCAGTAGCTCACACAGTAGAATTTTTGCTCACAAGGTTCCACAGCTTAGAGGGAGCATTGATAGCATTTCGGTTTTCTTAAAAAGTACATGCTGTTGTGGAACATTCTCTTGCCTCCAAGTTGTACTTTGCTGATCGTAAGAGTGTAGAAAATCATATGCCTCGTAGAAGACGCGATTGAAATGGGGATCTGGCTTGGCATTAGAGTTGATCCTGTAATCCCGGAAAGCTTTGCTTGGCTCCCCTCTGATGACTCAGCCCTCGCTGTGTGTCTTTCATGATACCTCTGTAGTCAGATGGGCTCGGGGTCTCATTCTTTGGAGCCCAACCAAATATTTATTTATTTATGAAATTTTACCCTGCCCTACCCCACAGAGTGGGGCTCAGGGCAGTCGCAACAGGTAAAACGCAATAATTGTTAAAAACACAATCTAAACCCCAATTTAAAACAAGTACAAACAAGATGGCAGTTAATAATAAGATTTCAGGCATCTGTGATACCTCCTCGAGAGGTTGAATTTAGCACTAAGGCTGATTCTGTGGACAGGGGAGGCCGGGATGGTTGGATCTCCGCCGCCTCAACCGAAGGCCTGGCAGAACAGCTCCATTCTGTAGGCCCTTTGGAACTGTAACAAGTCCCGCAGGGCCCCGGTCTCAACTGGGAGCGCATTCCACTAGGCTGGGGCCAGAGCAGAGAAAGCCCTGGCCCTGGTTGAGGCTAAACGGATGTCTTTCGGTCCAGGGACTACCAGGAGATATTGATCTACAGAGCACAAGGCTCTCTGGGACACATCTTCATTGAAACAGCTTCATTGTTGCATTGAGAATGATGCCTTAAAAAGGCTCGGCCAGTCTTGTTTTGGCCGGTGAAATGCCCAGTCTTAAATAGGGGAAAGCAGTGGCCAGAAGCACTTGAGAATCCCTGCCTTTAAAAAAACTTGAGAATCCCTGACTTAAGAAGGACATTCGCTGGTTTGGAGTGTGCATGATGGTGTTTGGAGTGTGCATGATGGTGGACTTTGAAAAAGTACACTGTACAGAGAGCCTGTCCGTTTGACTGGTGTGGTCAAGGTTGACTTTGGTTCCATTTTGTAAACTGTAGCCAGCTGAGCATCTTTCTGTTTGTCTGCAGCATTCTTGTTGCCATTTTTTCATGGCTTTCCTCAGCCCCTTCCCCTTCTGTGAAATGGTTGCATGCACCGTAAATATTATGTGCCTGTACAGGAATAGGTTTTTAAGATGCTGGGAAGTTAGGAAAGAAGCTTGAGTATTCTGAGCTTTCCCGTTTCCCAGTGCAGTCTGCCATGACACTTCCTCCCCCCCCCCTCGAGTCCCAGTCCTGGAGGTTGGTGGACCTTTGGGGAACAGCATAGGGGAGGGTCCACGGTGGGTGGGAGCAAATCAGGAGGAATTCAGTGGGTTTTCTTTTGTGTTTGAAGATTTCTCTTTTTAAACAAGCTGAATCTGGACCAGAGTAGAGTTCATGTAGAATTATTTGTCTCGGCAAGTAGCAGAAACACCATCTGAGCATACCTGAAATGACCCTGACCTAAGCTGTGCCTCAGGTATTGAGGCAGCTCTGGTTTCACCACAAACAGAAAGGCGAATTAGGGGAGTTTCAGAGTGTAGCCGTGCCAGTCTACAATAAAACGGTTAGATTTTTTAGTCCGGTAGCACCGTATAGACTGCAAGACTTTCAGGGTGTAAGCGTTCAGGAGCTTTGGCTCCCAAAAGCTTATACCCCAAAACACTTCATGGTCCCTAAGGGAATACTGGACTCAAATCTAAATGAATTAGGCCAGAGCTCTGCTAGCCATCTGTTGCAGGTGATGCTAGTTAGTTAATGTATTTACAGTCAATGACCATATTCAAAAATACAGCAGAATAAAAACATAATTAGGGTCCTGGTCACACGCAGAAGTTGCCGTGGGATACTCACGGATGCCGGGCGGGTTTTACAGGCGCGATCAAACGGGCACATCTGGCAAGCGTCGCACACCCATAGCCAACCTGTCTCGTCCGGCCGAAGATCCAGAGTTAAAAGGTACCTGTGGAAGTCCACTATCAAATGCTTGCGACGGGCCACCGATGGACTTCCTCCGTCTGATCGCTCCAGCGCGGTCCTCTTGCCGCGTCGAAGCACGCCGGAAACACGTGCCGCTGGAAACAACCCCGGTCCGCTGCAGCGGCGTCAGATCAGGTTGTGGCGGATTAAATTGCGGCGGCACAAATGGCCATCCCCCCCCCCGTGTTATCTGGCCCATGTGACCGGGGCCTAGGTATAATAGTTTAAAAGGGTGACATCTTTAAGATATACAAGGCATCATATTACAAGCAAGGCTCTCTCTAAGCTGTGGAGTTTTGTGAGCAAAAGTTCTACTTTGTGAGCTACTGGCATTAAAGTTGTGAGTGAGTGGTTTGGCTACTGCATGAATTCGTTTGCTCTGGAGCAATCCTTCCTGAGCTAAGACAGAAATCTGTGAGCCAGAAGCTAAAAAACTGTGAGCTAGCTCACTCTAACTCAGCTTAGAGGGAACACTGGTTACAAGGATAAAATATACCAGTCGTCACATTTTCAGAAACAAAAATAACAAACTTAAAACAAGAGAGGAGAAGTCCTGAAAAACAGGTCTTTTGTTTGCCTCGCACTTTAAGCGCATGGGCACAAAACCTAGGTGTCACCTTACTGACAGCTGGAATTTCATCTACCAATAGTTTCTCCAAACATGTCCTGTCCATCACCTACTAGCCCATCCAAAAAAGGAAGACTTACCTTATCTAGAATTTCTTTATAAAAAGTGCAGCGTATGAAAACGTGTCCTGATGCTTCCACCTTGCCTAGGGAGCAGGGACAAATCCTTTCAGAATATGGTATTTTCTTGTATCTCCTAATACCATTGATGGCATAACATTACATCTAGCCAAGGTAAAGCCCTCCTGTGGGGAGGAAAATCTAAAGTTTTAAGATACTGGGCCCTTGTCATGGAGTATCTAGATTTCTCAGGAGCCCTAAAGGTTTAGAGTTTTCATTAAATCTTGCTACCACTCCGGGTGATGCTTTGAAGGGAGAGGTTAAAGAGGACCTATGGGGCATAAAGGGGGGGAGGGTCACACTGGGCATTAAGACTGTGACAAGAGCTAAATGGGAGGGCCATGGGACAGCAATGGGATTCCAGTTGCGTGCTCTTATGCCTTGAGATAAAGGTAAAGGTTCCCTTGCTCGAAAGCCAGTCGAATCCGACTCTAGGGTTGGGGTGCTCATCTCCGTTTCAAAGCCGAAGAGCCAGCGCTGTCCGAAGATGTTTCCGTGGTCATGTGGCCGGCATGACTAAACACCAAGGCGCACGGAACACTGTTACCTTCCCACCGAAGTGGTACCTATTTATCTACTTGCAATTTCTTGCTTTCGAACTGCTAGGTTGGCAGGAGCTGGAACTAGAGATGGGAGCTCACTCCATCGTGCGGCACCCGGGTCTCGAACTGCTGAACTACTGCCCTTCCACAGCCTGCAGTTCAGTGTCTCAACCACTTGAGCCACCGCAGGTCCAATACGCCTTGAGATACAGAGCATTAAATGGGAAGAATGTAGTTTGGCTGCATTCAGCATGTGAAGAGAGAAAATGTGCCATTATCTTGATAGGTTCACATCCTCCTCCCTTGAATTAAAACAAGGGATGACCTTGGAAATGCAAAGCTTGTTTCATGGATGTATCATTCATTTTGCAGTAATGTAACAGGCTTCTAGATGTGTTCAGGATCGCAGAAGTCATAAACAGGGTCATAATCTTCCGTAGCATTTTTATCTTTGTTTCTCCCACACACAAACACTGGGTGCTGACCTCTTCTCTCCAGAATAGCTTTAGTTGCTAATTTCTGCTTCGGTCCTAACAGCATCTCTCACCTTGTACGTTAATCTTGGTTGGATCCAAAAGTGTCCTTCTGCCGGGGTAACATGCTAAGTAGAATGGCACTTCTGTAGATTGGGGGGTGGTGGTGGTAAATTTTTGCCAAGACTCTCTCCCCAAGCAGGATTTTAGGAAGCTTAGTGGGAGAGGGGAAGTTGGTAAGTCCCATTCCACACAAGCTTTGTTCTGCTCACAGTTCTCTGGTCTCAAGCTCCTGCCTGTTTGGATCTGCAAAAATACAGGAATTGCCCTGCCAATGGCCTTCTGGCTCCAGTGAATCACAGAGCTATGTTCACCTTGGTGGGCCATAAGCTTTGCAAATGTTGGTCTAAAGCTCAGGGGGTCTCCAACGTTTTGCAGCATGTGGGCACATTTGGAATTTTACACAGCATGCTGGGCGCTGCCACAAAATGGCTGCTATCGGAGGCGGAGCCAGGCAGAAAATGGCTGTTGCAGCTTACTTTCAGTCACAGCGAAGATGCTTGTGCCGTGGTTGGCAGCCGCTGCCCAAGTAACGTTTTTAAAAATCTGCATAGCCAATCAAATCTCCAGTAGCAAAAGCCCTA